ACTGCGGCGAAAATTCACGTTCTCGACGCGATGCCCCGCAACCTAAGCGCGTGAGCAGTCAAGAGACCCTATTCCAATCCCAATGCGGCGGTTTTACTTTTTATTTTTAATTATTTTATAATTTCACTTGGTAACCTCTAAGTAAAATAAAAAAGTTAAAAAATATTGATTCAGGAAGCATTTAAAAAGAAGAAAATAAATGTTTTCCACTTCAATGTCTAAATTTTTTATTATATACATACATATTATGTTGTATACACATAAATTATTTTTACAATTAGATGTTACCCGCTAAAAACCGCTGCAGCTGGTCCACGTATATGCCGAATGGTCTTTTGCTTTTCTCCATATGAAAAGAAAAAAACACAATTGAAATAGTAATTTTAATAACATAAGATAAAATATTAAGATTGCTATGAACTTATTTTTTTTTTGTTGAATTATTCTGTAATTTCGCTTCCTCACTTTTGAGTAGAAGTTTCGCAGCAAACGAAAGTAACGAAGTACGATAGTCTTTTAAAACTATTTAAAATGTGCCTCATTGTAATATTTTGGAAATTCCTTTATTGCCGGAAATTTTCTTTATTGACAAAAATTTCGACGGCTAACGGTAATGAATTTCTAAAAGCTATTTCAACGGTAAGGGACTTTTAATTAGGTCCATCGTAGACGTCGTCGAATACTTTATTGTTTCATTATGTCAAAAGAGTCTTTTGAAAAGAGGTAGTCAAGAATTTCAGGGGATTCGAAAGAAGTGCTTAGGCGCTCGAAAAAACAATATACTGCTAATAGTGATCCGCTATAGACTTCACAAAGGACCTGTTAAAGGTAACCGTGCGCCCAGTTCCAGGTAAGCGAGCCGCTCGCGCGGCGTTTACAATCGGCCGAATCGTACCAATTGGTCTCGTACTCGTCTCAGTGGTGTCATTTAAAGTAATATGGATTGCAACTGGTACGATCGGCCAACCGTATTCACCGCGCCTACCAAAAATCCCAAATCCCAAGCAATCTAAACGCCGAGTAGAGAGCAGCATGAGTTCTCTACGCGTTCATGACGAAGACCCTGTCCAAAACCCCATTCTAATCCTGATGCGACGGTTTTACTTTTTATTTTTAATTTTTGTGTAATTTTAGTTTGTAATTTGCCAGTAAAATAAAAAGTTCCAAAATATATTTAAGTAGCATTTTACAAAAATGGGAGATGTATTTATTCCTCTTTAATATTTAAATTTTATATTACACAAATACATATTCTCTTATATATACAATAGGCAAATTATTCTTACAATTAGATGTTACCTTCATTCTAACTATTGCAGTACATACATATGAAAACATTGGAAGAAAAATCCATCACATTAATATGTTACGTAGAGTAAAATGAAAGCTTGGAAGATATTAATTTCACAAACGCCTCATTGTCATATTCGGTAGTAGTACTATTATTCCAATTGCGGTTTAAACTATGTGCATATGTACTTCTTTTCAGATATAGAAAAGTAAAGGACCGATGCCGACAGCAGAATGATTTCTCTCACACGCTCGTTCATGATGAAGAGCCTGTTCGTATCCCGATGCGACCGTTTTAGTTTTTATTTTTAAGTATTGTATAATTTCCCTTTGTAATAGGTCAGTAAAATAACAGCTTCGAAGATATTAATTTGATAAGCATTTTCAAAATTCGATTTTTGTATTAATGATATATTTCGCGTTTCTGAGAACCGTTGCAGTTGGTTCACGTACATGTGATGTTAGCGGTCCTTTACTTTTCTATGTCTGAAAAGAAATATGCACATAGTTTAAACCGCAATTGGAATAATAGTACTACTACCGAATATGACCATAAGGCGCGTATATGAGCAGGTACTTAGGGTGAGACGTATCTGATCGAAACGCTCGAAACGCGGGTAACCCTATCGTAAACGGAGGCAATAACGAGACTGCACGATGACTCATTGTAACACGTAATTTGGAAATGTTTTTATTACCGGAAAGTAGGACGGTATTGACATCTTAGAAACTATTTTAACATAAAGGGATTTTGAATTAGGTGCAGTTATATTGTTAGGAATTTCCCAGATTTTGAAAGAAGCATTTTATCCGCTTAAAGAAATGAATATACCGTAAATACAGAAAGTCCATATTGAGGACGGAACACTTGTGACATTATTTAGAAGACAAAAAAAAGATGATGTGTTGTATTTCCATGCTCACCGACATCAAATCTAAAAAAATGCATATGCGTGGACCATCTTAACAAAAAAATTTAATTTTGAAAACGCTTCTTAAATTAATATCTTCCAAGCTTTCGTTTTACTGTACGTAACATATTAATGTAATCGATTTTTCTTCCAATGTTTTCATGTGTATGTACTGCAATAGTTAGAGTAAAGGTAACATCTGTGGCGGCACTAACTCCTACATTCGCCACTAGAGGTCTATCGAGTTGACACCTTTCCTACAACTACCTGAAACCTTCCTCGTTTGTATACAAGGTGTTCGACTACTAGTGGGAAAAAATGTAAGGAGTGATTCTTTGAGGCAAAATAAGACGAAAATCAAGAATAAGGAAATAGCGAGAAATACTTCGTTTGTTAGTTATAAGCGTTTAAAAATTGACCCAAATGATGGCAATTCGCTCGCACGAAGTGTTAGCGGATCACGGCTCGTAAGGGGCGTACAGTCACTTTAAAGACTCGACGACGTGCAGGAAAAGTCGGTAGAACAGCTGTCTACTTACCCCGTAGAAGATGTCGATAACTTGTGCCCGCGGTATTTGAGTCGACTCCACTTGTATCGCATTCACTATGATTACTCGATAAAATTCGCAAGAAATGTAAATATCTTCTTACGAATATTATCGAGTAGAGAGGGTTAATGAACCCTCTAGTTGTCACGTATAACAATTGTCCTATCCACGAGTATCCATGAAATTAATCCACGCATGCATGTACACCATAAAAGTCCACGAAAAGTGTCCAAACACACTGCGCGATTGTCCGATTGTCCCGATCGCGAAAAATGTTCACATACTGCGCGATTAATTAGACCCGCAAACGGTTCCTCCGTTGGGTTTAATACCCTACACGTTACACAAAATTAACACTTAAAATAATTTATTTATAACTATTTAACACTAATTTTTAACCTACACTACTTAATTTATAACAGCTATTTATACTAATTTTTAACACGCAATAATTAATAAAACCTACAATATTTAATGAAACCTGCAATAATTAATAAAGCCTACAATATTTAACGAAACCTGCAGTAATTAATAAAACTAACAATATTTAATAAAACCTGCAATAATTAATAAAATCTACAATATTTAATAAAACCTGCAATAATTAATAAAATCTACAATATTTAATAAAACCTGCAATAATTAATAAAATCTACAATATTTAATAAAAACTACAATAATTAATAAAATCTACAATATTTAATAAAACCTACAATATTTAATAAAACCTACAATAATTAATTTGCACTGTTTATAACGACGACATACGCCACACTACTAAATAATCACTACGTTCTCGCTAAATAAACTAAGACTTAGTTTTCCGAACATGAACTCTATTTGCTCGTAGAATGCAAAGGGCACCGTTTGGAAAGGACAATTGATATTATTGAACTGATCCTCCCTCGTTAGGATCGATGTGGCGTAATAGGTCGATCCCCACTCTTTCATGGTCAATACTTTTTGGGAAAGAAAATCTACATGGGAAAGTGTCTTGGAAGTCGCGTTTCTTTTCGTACATTCTTAGAGCAACATCTGTATTTTTTTCTCATACACCACTCGGGGCCACTTGGCCACAATGCCGAGGATGTGCGAGTCTGAACATTATAAAACTGTCTCTTGTCTTCTGCAGGGCGACCACCCGCCGATTGCCTGTAACGTGTTACTGCCATCGACGAACACCTTCCCTATTGTGTTTTCGGCTATCCCTCTTGACATTAACATGTAAAAAGAACTTTCAACGTCGAATTGCAACTCCATGTGAGAAACGGTTCACATATTACACCGAATGTATGTGTTTAACAATTTTCTTTATTTTATGTTATGAAGTTTTTTTATGCATCGTAATGCAGGTGCCGCAAATTACATCTTAGTTTCATTCTAATATCATTATACGTTTTGTATGATCCATGTTAATTGCATGTTATTTTTTGCGGATACAAGAACCTCACCCACTTGGAGTAAGATCGAAGTGGTAATACAATGTGCAATGCACATAAAACATACAGTAAGTCAATATTCAATACTTCAGGAATAGAGATATTATCCTATCGGGCGAAGCTTCGAACGATAAGTAATTAACGCATGCACTTGTTTAAAAACATCGTTCAGCACCCCGTAAGAAGATATTTACATTTCTTGCGAATTTTATCGAGTAATCCGACTTAATGCGATACACGTGGATTCGACTCAAACACCGCGAACACAAGTTATCGACATCTTCTACGGGGTAAGTAGACAGCTGTTCTACCGACTTTTCCTGCACGTCGTTGAGTCTTTAAAGTGACTGTACGCCCCTTACGAGCCGTGATCCGCTGACATTCCGTGCGCGCGGATTGGGTCAATGTTTAAACGCTTATAACTAACAAACGAATCATTTGTTGAAATTTCGTTATTCTTGATTTTCGTCTTATTTTGCCTCAAAGAATTACCCCTTAAATTTTTTCCCACTAGTAGTCAAACACCCTGTATATACGTATGTGTATATTTACGAAATTGCTTTCTACCATTTCGCAGATTTTTATTATATATATACATCTGTATATGTATGTATATCTGTAGGCAGTGCTACTGCTTAGCAGCAATGGCGATCGACAGTCGTCACGTGACTTTTCGACCCCTGAAATACTGCAACACCGGCAAAATATCCGCGATTATGGTTTACTACTCTTGGATTGCCGCTATATTTTTCTGTTTTCCATAGGTTTGTATTACTTCTCCATCCTTATTCATTTATCAATTTTAACACTACATATATTTTTGGCGTTTCTTTCAATAAATTTTTAAATCTTTATATTTTCGTACCAAGAAATTATGCCAAATATTTGGGAATGTTCGCTGGCTTTCGAAGTTCCTTATGGCGAGAAGGCGTATGTTACTTGGTAGATTACGCATTAATTAATTAATACAGGTGAAGAAGTATTAATTGCAATGATTATCCATAGGTATAGTATTACGGCATTTCTCCTGCCTACTACTATTCTCCTTTACACGTACGTAGGAATATGTATAGGGATATGGAAGAGCAATAATAAATCAGAAATCAACGCGAAGAAATATGACGTGTCGGAGAACTTTTTTCAACAGAAACTAACCGTTTTCGCTTTTAAAGCTTCGATGAACAACGCAAAGGTGTCCATATCGTTAATTAGTTTTTATTTGATCACAAGAACTCCTTGTATTGGTTGTTTGTTATGGGTTTTATGGAATCCCAAAGCATCTTTCTCTTCTTCTAACGATGAGTCAACAGATTCGAAGTGATACAAAATATGAATGAACTAATGTAACTTAAAGTCGTTTGCAGGACCGACGTTCACTCTCCTGGTGCTCCTAGACAGTTTCACAGATTGCATAAACTCGTGGATTTATTTATTCTTCGATCGTGATCTTCGTTGACAAGTCATTTGTTCAAACAGAACATTTACGATCTACCATACGGAAATTACCGATAAACAGAAAAATGTTTATACAACGTTAATATAACGAACTTGTGACGGAGTTTTTAAAGCATCGTCATCCTAAATCAAGATCCTTATTCGTCTGGTAGATGCTTCCATGAAGAAGTTGCTAACTATAATACATTTTATTTTATATTTGATAAATAAATGAGACTTTAGCATTAGCAATAAGTGAATATATTAGCGATATAATCGATATGGGCGTTACAATGGAATTCATCGTCGTTGGAAGACTTTGTCGCAACGTTTCAATTCTTCTCGTTTGTGTATAAAAGAAGTCTCACTTTTCCTAGGACCATAGATCCCGATGCATCCTCGAAAACGATCGCTATTCTTTGCGATCCGTTATACTTGCACAGACCGGCTCATTAGTATTTCCATCGAGCGGGCGTCTATTATGTTTCGATGTTTGTATTCCCACTTTTATTCCGATCATCCCAGTGGTTCTCATGTAGCGCCGCAGAAACAACGCAAAACAGAATGCAAGAACAAACATTGGAATTACAATGATTACAATTGATAATCGCAAAGAAAAATGTTTCTCCGTGTCAACTGATTGCATGAATGATTAAGCCATTATCAATTGAAGGATTTATATCCCTTGATAAATCCAGACCATTCGCGCGGGCCTTAGATCCTACCCCCTGTAGATTGAGATCCCCTGTTGGAACACCTGAATACTTAATAAATGGATGAAATTAACATTAATAACGACTGTCTGCGACCGATCCACATCTTATCTGACGACAAACGCGTTCGACAGTCTTGCATGATATATGCCCCAGAGAAGTCTCTCGAAGAAGGTAGATCGAAGGTGGATCGGTTCTTTAACTATTTCTCGGTTAATCCATCCAGGGCGCAACGAATCGTTTTATTAACGGTTAAACGATCGATTCGTCGGTATGAATTCGGAAGACTGTACCAGTGAACCCTTGAGAAACGAGGTAAAGTTACATCCTTCAACTTGTTGCCAAGAAGCCGGAAGACCAGGTCCAGAAAATTAATTTCTTTGGAGGAAGGCTCATTTCGGAGAATTCCTATTCTTTATTAAATGAGTTACAGAACCATTAAGTTGGCAATGATTCTTTCTTGCTAAATCAGAAGAAGATAAACGGTTAATTACTACTTTCATCCAATAAAGAGGGAATCCTGCTTGTTTCAGTCGGAAAATGATAGCAATAATGATGGTTACGTGCGTTCGCCGGTATTGCTGGACCTGGACAAGAACTCCAAACAGCAACAAGAAGTATTGAATCGAGAAGAAGATTCTCCGTCACAATTTTTACCGATCAACCAATATTTGCAGGATCCATCGATTCAGAACGGATCAGGTATTCGATGAAGAAAATGAAGAAAATATCTGATGAAAATCGAAAGCAACGATACTGACGCGAATATTTCCTTGCAGAAGATTCGAGCGTGCCGCGGCGACTGCCGGTGAGAAGAACGTGGCAAGACGGAAATTTCGAAGATCGCCAACAGAACGGCAGTCGTGTGTTTGTGATAAGAGTACCTGAACCAGAAGTGATTAATACTCATCCGCACTTGGAGATCCTACATGAAACGGACATTAAATCGGTGCAGCGAGAACCGTCGCAAACCGAAAAGGGTGGGGTACAAGTACTGCTTAAAATAAGATTTTTCAAAAATAATCTGTTTCGAAGGTTCTAATAGGATCTAATCAGTTCTAAATAGGATCTTTCTGTAAATTTCTTAAGGGGTCATTCCAGTGTGCACGCTATAAACATTAAGCATTGTTTAGGAATTTATTATAAAAAGAAATACACAATAGAATAGTACAAAACATTTTACTGTTTATTATTATACATTTATAAAGCAAAAAATAATATTTTAGTGGTAAAATAAGTGGTTTATTAGTGTGTTTTTCTGAACATCTGTATACAGTATACAGTTTGAAACATAGTTGACATGCTGGTGTAGGTGATTTCATTTCATAGACTCATCTGAAACAAAATATTCAAACGGATTGTTATGTTGTATGCGGATAGCTATTGTCGGTACCAACAAAAATATATTAAAAACTAAATATCGATGATAAATTATTTGCGTACAAAATTTTAAAAATGGCGGACATTTATATAAAAATATATAAATTCAACTTTTCTTGTAGCTGTTTTTCAATGTAAAAAATATGTTAAAGTGGATAAAATCATTTGATTTTGGTACCAGCAATAGCCATTCGTATAGAAATTGAGAATCCGTTTGAATATTTTGTTTGAGATGAGCATATTAACTGATATTACCTGTATCAGCAAGACAACTAAGTTTCAAACTGTATACAGACCTTCGGAAATACGTACTGATGAACCATTTATTTTACCTCTCCAAGAATTTATTTTGTTCTTCAAATGTATAGTAGTAAACAACAACAAGTTTTACACCATTCCATTGTGTATTTTCTTTATAATAAATTCCTAAGCCATGCTTAATTTTTATAACATATACTCCAAAATGATCCCTTAAAACAGGGATGTCAAACTGGTAGCTTGCGGGCCGCATGCGGCCCACGACGTGTATTTTTGTGGCCCGCAACGACTTAAACTTTATACGAATTCAAAATATTGTGAAAATGTAAGCAATTTTAAATTTCTTTGTTTATAATACATAATGGGACCTCCACTGTGATTGTTCGGCTAAACTGTGAAATTTAAAAGTTGAATTAACGGAATAACCCTGATAACCAGTTGTGTATAAGTTTCGAGCAAATTGCCAGCAATAAATGACAAAAGTTGTCTAAAAAACTATAGCCATCTGCTTTCGCATTTGACTTGGGTTTTGCAGGCAACGCCAGCTGATAAAATGGTAAAGCAATTTGGCAGAAAGTCTCGCAACATGACCTATGTCAAATTGAAAGCAAAACCGGAACAAGGTTCGCGCTAGCCAATTTGCTGCATATGTTGCTGCCAATGTGCGCGCAAGTTGTTTACAGCAAATCTTGTATCAAACTTGTAGCCATAACTTTAAAACAGGCATTGGACAAAATTTGGCTTTGCAGGTTCGGTTGACTGGTATATAAATACATATTGTGCGGCCCGCGTGAAATCTACTTGTTAGACAAATGGCCTGTGATTGAAATGAGTTTGACACCCCTACCTTAAGACAACGATATTCTAGTGTTTTAAGCGGAGCCGATCATAGTTGGCTTGGCGTGTAGGTACGAGATCTTCAAACGAGTCTTTCAGAAGTGACTTAAAACTCCTTTTAGTTTTTTATAAGTAAAAACCGTGAACTCTCTGTAGCGAAAAGTTGAAGCTTTAACTTCAAATTACATACTGCCATTTTGTGAAAAATAAGTATTTCGGAAATCATTCATAATAAACGGTACAGTAATTTTACCTGGTACCATAAAACTCTGTTTCAAAGCACACATTAATATTGTCATAAGTGAAAATCATTGTGTAATTATTATTTTTTATTGTTCTGTGAGCAAATTTGGATGACTGTTAATTTTAAGTATACTCTTTCAAATGTTAATTTTTTTTACCAAGACTTTGTTTTCACTAAAAAAAAATTTCAAAGTTAAATGTATTTTTCGGCACGCAGAATGTACATTGGTTGAGAAAACGGTATTAGAACATTCCTGTATATTATAATAAAGGTATCGAAGAAAATGGGGATATAATGTCCAAAAACATATTATTTGTAAGTTTACTGCAACTAGGAAAAAGAAAATAATTTAATAGAAATAGTTATGACACAATCGAAGAATCTATAAATTACTTAAAATAAATCGGTGTGTGCAAATACTTAAAAAAAATGATTCCATTTAAATATTAATCTAGCCTGTGGTTCATTTCAGATTATAAGAAATCAGCTTGCGATCGAGAACGAACGAGGATGCGGGATATGAATCGTGCGTTTGAGCTTCTACGGTCAAAGCTACCAATCTGCAAACCACCTGGGAAGAAACTGTCGAAGATAGAGTCGCTCAGGCACGCCATAAGTTACATAAGACATTTGCAGAGTCTGTTGGAACCCCAATATAATTATGTTCCAAATATACCTGAAAGAAATTACTATCCTGCTAGCACACCCGTTACAACCACCGCATCTTTTGATATGCAACATCCAACTCGATGGGAATCGTTCGCTTATTATCGTTACGATTATCATGCTCCGTTCATTACTCCGAACCCATCAACATTAACCTCCCCTATTCACCCTCAAGTACCAACGGAACAGGACGAAAGACAATTCTCTTACGAGACGCGACATTAAATATCCTCCTGAGAGAATCGTCGTCATTCCCTTCAATCTTTCTATTTTAACACTAAACCTACCGAACCCTTCAGAGGTAGGAATTAGTACGTCAAAACTGGTCATTTTAACCGATCGTGGTAGGTTTAGTGTTAAGTATAGGTAAATCGAAATTAATTCCTCACTCGAGAGACCACTGAGACTTTACGAGGAGCTACAGTATTGGAAAGAGACACAATTTAGTAAGCGTTTCATACAGTGATCAAGTTTATTTTTATATGTAGATTATATTTAGGTATATACAGAATAGAATGAGTTTTCATGAAAATAATTCTTATGTACAATTTATTGAAATTCAATTTCCGTAGACAGACGTCTAAAATATTTGATAAAAATATATTACTCCTACTTTAAAAAGTAATCATTTATGCAAAAAAATACATTGTAAAAAATATTTTATATACAATTCATTAATTAGAAGAATAAACTGTTTAAAAAAATAATGATTAAATCGTTTATCTATATGGAAAATATAAGAGAACAATTTTTACTAATTGATTGCACAATTAATATGCAGAAAAATTCATTGAGAGAACTCCTCCTCTGATTCTTCTTCTATAAAATTTAAACTGCTTCTTGATTTTCTGGTTCCAGATGTACAGCCCAGCTCTGCTAATGTACCATTATCTTCTCCTTTTATACAATTTTATTGAACTCTAATGGTATTTTTAGTGCAATCTTTATTAGTAAATTCTTCATGACTAGATTTTTTATACGTTTATCCTACTTTGTGTAGTTGGAAAATTTTTATTATCAACGAACTTGCTTTTCTTATTTCCTTTATGATTTTCTTCGTCTGACACTTCACTTTTATCTGTACATACATCAAAAACTGATTCTTTAGAGTCCTGCTTCTTTTTAATAGCATTATGCATTTCCCGTAACTTCGTTTTCTTAGAATTTAACATTAAGATAAATTTTTTATACATATCCTGCTCTATAGTAGTTGTGGCTTCTATCATTTTTTGTATATCTGATATTAACTTTGCTTTAGTATCCATTAAATTTTTATTTTTTCCTTCGAGTATATTTAATTTGCCTTGAATATTTTCATAAAACTTCAAAGATTATTGAAAGTTTCCTGAGATAACTTTAATGTCTGAAACAGGGTTTAAATTGATTCTTCCGAGAATCCAGAAATTATTCTTCCATTGTAAGGTTGTGTTATCAATAAGAAATAGAATCTCTATATTTTTCCCACAAAGTATGTCCTTAATTTCATGAACATATTCTTCAAATGATTTGAATAATTGATCGCAAAAATAATTTATATCTTTAATATCCGTCTGTAATATTAAATCATTTTAATTGAGTAAGACAACAAAATATGAAAAATATTAGAATATAGTAACAGAAATCCATCTAACCAATTTATTGATTGCATACAAAGTTACATACAAACTTTCCCACACAATGGTAACATTGTCGGTTCTAACAATATTACTTTAAAATATGATTAAAGCCATTCTACGTAGAGTGTGTAATATGTTTTATCAATTTGATTAAAAACTTCACGTGCAATTATTTTTGTCATTGTTAAAATAGTTTTTACATATTAAAACAAAATAAAAGAATCACTACAGTAGACATTCGTTTCCCGCGCCACCGTTATCGGCACGAAAGCTACGCCCCTTGCTCCCACGTATTTCTCACACACGACCGCGTAGCCTACTCTGTCGCCCAGTACGCCCTGGCCGGAACACATACGGTGTCGCGTTTAACTCGCATATCTCATCACGGAATGTGCAGTGTATATAATACTGTTTTAATAATGTTTTTATTGGTGCAATGAATATTGGTGGCAATTTGATTGCTTCTAGTCCCGCGGATCTCACGTACTGGGTAAAAGATGCTAACCAAGCTAGACATTTGCTACTAAAATATGTCACGAATTATTACCTTTTTCACATAATACCTTAATACTTTATTACGCATGTAGCGAAAAAGAATGTTTGAATGCGGAAGGAATGCGCGCCGAATAAATGAGAACGAATGAGATCGAGTAATAGGTAAGGTGTGAGTGATTGGACGAATGATGTGTGAAAGGGAAGTGGAAGGAGTGCGAACAGAACATAAATACGGGCCAAAGAGACAAAGCAGATAGAGTTGGAAAATAAAGCAAACTGATAGCACGTGTCTCATTCAAATTATTTCTAACACGCAGAATGTTTGGAAGAATCGATTTATGTAATAAAAGTATTTTCTTCCATAATATTTCAATATCATTAATAAAAATAACAATTAACTTTGAAAACTTAGAATATACTCCACCTACGCAAAAATTGTTGCTACGTAATAGCCCTCTTCATACTGAACAACTTCTGTGAATAAACTTTGTTGATATCTCTATAAATAACGGAGATAATACATCTAACCGTAAAGTGCGCATATCCAGCCAACCCTATACGTCTGCGTCGCACGACTGAACCACTGATACTGAACGGCCGAGCAAAATCCATCACATTAATATGTTACGTACAGTAAAATGAAAGCTTGGAAGATATTAATTTGAGAAGCATTTTCAAATTCAGATTTTTTTGTTAAGCTGGTCCACGCATATGCATTTTGTTGATTTGATGTCGGTGAGCATGGATAATATGCATGTACATACAACACATCGTCTTTTCTTTTTGTCCTGTAAATAATGTCACAAGTGTTCCGTCCTCAATATGGACTTTCTTTACTCACGGTATATTAATTTATTTGGTCGGCTAAAATGCTTCTTTCAAAATCTGGGAAATTCCTAACAACCCCTTTTGAAATAATCGGACAATAATGTATTCGGCGCGCGTATAATTGCACCTAATTCAAAGTCCCTTTGCGTTAAAATGGTTTCTAAGAATTCAATACCGTCCTACTTTCCGGTAATAAAGACATTTCCAAATTATGTGTTACAATGAGCCACCGTGCAGTCTCGTTATTGCCTCCATTTACGATAGGGTTGCCCGCGTTGCGGTCAGATACGTCTCACCCTAAGTACCTGCTCATATACGCGCGTCATGGTCATATTCGGTAGTAGTACTATTATTCCAATTGCGGTTCACACTATGTGTATACTTCTTTTCAGACATAGAAAAGTAAAGGACTACTAACATCACATGTGCGTGGACCTACTGCAACGGTTCTCAGAAACGCGAAATATATCATTAATACAAAAATCGAATTTTGAAAATGCTTCTCAAATTAATATCTTCGAAGCTGTTATTTTACTGACATATTACAAAGTGAAATTATACAATAATTAAAAATAAAAACTAAAACGGTCGCATCGGGATACGAACAGGCTCTTCATCATGAACGAGCGTGTGAGAGAAATCATTCTGCTCTCGGCGTCGGTCCTTTACTTTTCTATATCTGAAAAGAAGTACATATGCACATAGTTTAAACCGCAATTGGAATAATAGTACTACTACCGAATATGACAATGAAGCGTTTCTGAAATTAATATCTTCCAAGCTTTCATTTTACTGTACGTAACATATTAATGTGATGGATTTTTCTTCCAATGTTTTCATATGTATGTACTGCAATAGTTAGAATGATGGTAACATCTAATTGTAAGAATAATTTGTCAATAGTATATATAAGAGAATATGTATTTGTGTAATATAAAATTTAAATATTAAAGAGTAATAAATACATCTCCCATTTTTGTAAAATGCTTCTTAAATTAATATTTTTGAACCTTTTATTTTACTGGCAAATTACAAACTAAAATTACACAATAATTAAGAATAAAAAGTAAAAGCATCGCATCGGGATTCCAACGGGGTTATGGACGGGGTCCCTCGTCATGAGGGCGTTAGAGAATTCATGCTGCTCTCGACTCTCGACTCTCAGCGTTTAGATTGCTTGGGATACGGGATTTTGACCTGGCTTGGGCCACTCGGCCGTCGCGTCGTAAACGCGTGACGTAGACTTTTACCGAGAACACCCGAAGCAGAGCGCACACGGACAGAGGTAGAAAACGCTTGTGTTGGTGAGTCGCCGAGTAGGACGTAGTGGGGGCAGAGCTCACGGACAGGCTAGAATATGCTTGTGTAAAATACCCACGGGAGGCATGGAGAGGGTAAGCGCTCGCGCGGTTTACTCACAATTCTGGCATCAGTGCGGCCGAGTGGTGCGGAAAGCGCTCGGGTAACTGGCGTCTGCTTCCTCTAGCCCTCTACAGCACTGATGCCTGCACGTGGGATTTTCGCGTGAGCGCATACCCTTTCAATGCCACACGTGGGTATTCTACACAAACATATTCTAGCCTGTCCGTATGAGCTCTGCCCCCACTACGTCCTACTCGGCGCTCCCAACGCAAGCGTTTTCTACCTCTGCCCGTGTGCGTTCTGCTTCGGCTGTCTCTCGGCAAAAGTACTACGTCACGCGTTTACGACACGACGGCCGAGTGGCCCAAGCCAGGTCAAAAATCCCAAGCAACCTAAAGTTTACGTCCTAAACGCGGAGAGCTGCATGATTTCTGTCATGCGATCATGATGAAGACCCTGTCCGAAACCCCGTCCGAATCCCGATGCGACGGTTTTACTTTTTATTTTTAATTATTGTATAATTTCATTTTGTAATATGTCAGTAAAAAAAAAGCTTCGAAGATATTAATTTAAGAAGCATTTTAAAAAATGGGAGATGTATTTATTCCTCTTTAATATTTAAATTTTATATTACACAAATACATATTCTCTTATACAGGGTGTTCGACAACTAGTGGGAAAAAATTTAAGGGGTGATTCTTTGAGGCAAAATAAGACGAAAATCAAGAATAACGAAATTGCGAAAAATGCTTCGTTTGTTAGTTATAAGCGTGTAAAAATTGACCCAAATCATGGCAATCCGCGCGCACGGAGTGTCAGCGGATCACGGCTCATCAGGGGCCTACAGTCACTTTAAAGACTCAACGACGTGCAGGAAACGTCGGTAGAACAGCTGTTTACTTACCCCGTAGAAGATATCGATAA